GATTAAAGAAATCACTTGGCTTTGAAGCAAAATACATGTCGATGTCCTATTTAACACCTTCCACATTTGAATACGTTTTCCCATTAAGATGTTGTTGCAGCGAACAAAAAATATGGTAATCTTATGGTGCCATATCTGGAGAATATGGTGTGGGGGGGGGAGAACTTCCCAACCCAACTCCATAATCTTGTATTGCGTCAAACGTGCCACATGTGGACGTGCATTGTCGTGGAGAAGAAGAACACCTTTCCGATTGAAGAGTGAAGGGCGTTTCTGATGAAGGGCTTGATTTAAACGCTCCAGTTGCTGACTAAAGATCTCCGCTTGACAGTTCGCTGTGGATTGAGGAGTTCGAAATGAATTACTCCTTTAATGTCCAACCAAATGCAGAGCATCACTTTCTCCGGATGGAGTCCAGGTTTTGGGGTCGGAAGTAGTTTTTGTGTAGAGCTAAGCCATTGTTTTTGGCGTTTAATATTCGCATAGAGAATCCACTTTTCATCACCACTGACAATTCTGTCCAAAAATGGTTCACGCGAAGAGACGAAGCAACGTTCACACGTTGGAAACGATTATCATCGGAGAGTTCGGGAGTCACGCAAACACCTTCTTTATGGAGTTTTCCCATATTCCTTAGATGTTCACATATAATTTCATGAGAGACATGCAATTTCACGAGTGTGATGCCTTGGGTTAGACTCAAAATTTGCTGAACCATCGTTGCCACTTACGAACGTTCAAAACATTTCTATAAACTTCTTTGATATTCTTTGTGGCTACAGAGGCGTTGTTTCCCCTTCTTGTATTCAAACAGCATTACATGCCGAATGTGTGTCATCACTATAAGTAATTAGAGTATACTAAACTTTACACATTATATAGGCTACACTAACGTGACGTTTAGGCTACTGAACTAGTTCATTGTGTGGCATTATTCTCGTGACTTTCAATGTTTCATTTTCAAAGGAGGTTGATTCCCTTTTAGGTTCTTAAAACTGAGGTAACTACATACATCTTATTAACTTTTGATAAAAGTTTTATTGTTAACTTGGGCAGGTTAACTAAAAGTACAAGTGTGTATGTGAAAGTTATATGATTTATCAAGTCTTACCATGAAATTTTGATTTCATTGGGCAACAGCTGATAATTATTATAAAACTACGGTTCGTTTAACTATTGTTGAGTGAGCAAGATCACGTGACTATTCTCACGCCACCTGCTTTCTAGAACTATCCTGTACCTTGGCAAATGCTCTAGCATTTACTAGATATAGAGTAGTATGGTATATAAAAGAGGGTGACAACGTGACGGACAATATTGTGTGTGTAGGTAGTGAGTAATTGAACTGCAGTCAGAAGTATTGTTGACGTTCGTTGATATAGCGTTTGTTACAGAGCGACTTTTGAAAATAAGTGTATCGTAAAGTTGTATTCGGAAAGAATAAACCAGTTTTATAAAGTAAGGACTTGTGTCGCTAAAGTTTCGTCGGAACGAAGTTACGGAAAATCAATTAACAAACGGAGACGTAACACTATTATAGGTGATGTACGTTTTTGGGGGGAGGTTAATGAAAGTGTTCCAAAACGTGACATTAATTTCTTGATGACCAAATACATCATTTTTTTATGATGTTTTAATAGCTATTTTTTACATCAAATGATAAAATGTTATTTACGTTGCATGTGATTTGAAAAAATAAGAATAAATGAATTAAAAGCAGTGTGCTCTGTGGTTTATAAAAAATTAACTGCTTCCTAGGTAAATTACTGAACTGAATAATTTTGGTCTCTCTTTTCACATAATAGTACATACTTATAGTTGTTTGAATATAGAATTATAGTAAAGAAAAGGAGGGTACATGGTGTCCTCAATTTTCCGGAAGTTGGGAAGCGGAAAGTCCTGTTTGCCTGGATGATAAGGTGGTGTTTGCCGGAAACCAACGTTTATCTGGAGTACATACGATACAGTTGTAAATGTACTGAAGTCTTTGTTTGTGTAAAAAAAAAAAGGAGAGAGAGAAAGAAAGAAATAAGTAGATTACAACAACTATAAGTATGTACTATTATGTTAAGAAATAAATATGTTACCCAAAAAAAGATAAAAACAGTTGCGAGGATTGCAATGTAAGTGAAGGTCTTCAACTCATATATATATCTTTTTTCCTGCTATTATCTGAACATGTTGAATATTCTACATATATATATATCACTTAAATGAAGGTTGTCAACTCACACATGTATTTTCTTGGTATCATTTCAATATATTGAGTATGCAATATAGTTGCGACTTATGTGAAGGTCGTCAACTCACATATACATTTCCTAGGTATTATCTGACCATTTGGAATATGCTATATAGATATGATTGAAAGAAGGTGGTCAACTGATTCATATCTTTTCCTGGTATTATCTGAATTTGCTATAAGGTTACAACGCAAGTGAAGGTCGTCAACTCACACGTATCTTTCGTTGGTATTATCTGAAAATGTTGATATGCAAAATAAGTGCGACTTAACTGAAGGTCGTTATCTCACAAATATCTTCCCTTGGTATCATCTGAATATGTTAAGTATGCTATACAGCTGTAACTTAAGTTAAAGTCATTAATTTATTATTGGTATTATCTAAACACGTTGAATATGCTACATGGGTGCGATCGTCAGCATTAAAATACCGTTTGTAACGTTGTCGTTGAGGCGCACATCCTTCCTTGGTTTTATTCGAAAATATCTGCCTTCTTCAGAAAAACTGAGTAGAAATTTTAAGTTTAATTCATTTTTACGATATCCACTTGAATCTGTATTTTATATTTTATCTGCGCTGTAGCTACTGGTATTAATATGAAAGGCTGTAATACCGAGAATTAAAAGCCTGACGTCATTATGTATACTTATCTTTAGAATAGTTCTTTCTTATCCATTAATAATGGTAAAACAATACATACTTCAAGTATCCTTTCGTTTTAACTTGCGATATTGACCATTAATTTAATAAAATTAACACAAATATTCAAAAGCTTTTAAAGATAGACCCCCCCCCCCATTAAATGGTTACTGCAGTGTTAAATTAGAACTCAGCTTATAATATTGAACATCATGAAATTTGTAAATTTCACAGTGGTCAGCATCTTACATAAGAACAGCAGCAACAACAACTAACTTCAATGTAAATCTCTAGGCATAACTAGGAACTGTCCTTCAAACCTACAATAACTAAAATAAGTACTCATCAATTACGAACGCTGTTTGACTAGCTAATGTGTATTAAATACTTTGTGAGCGAAATGAATTTGTTATTTCGGAGATTTTTAATTCATACTCCATCTACAATGTAGTGGCATAGTTGAATTACTTTAATAAAATATGACAGAATTAACAAGTAAAATACATTAGAGAAAGTATGTTCAAACCAAGTTAATCAAAACTATGATCAAACACTAATAATAAATTTTCAGTGAATTATATATGATGCGTTAAACATATACATACAATATATGTATATATATATATATATTATATATACTATTTTTTTCTGGTGATTTTTTAATTTAATTTAACTCTTTACACCTCATTTATATCTTAGTAAAATGCTAGCTTTCAAGAACTTATATAAGTGATTATGCCTCTATATGTGCATTAGAAATAATTATTCTATTTTTCCCTCTTCCAATCTAAATTGTGTAAGCAAGTCCAGCATTTTAAGCTGGATATAATTCGGATTTCATAATAACGGTGTTTAAATGATAAGCACTTAGATAACATCTAATCATTATATTTACGTATTTTTAACAAATATTTCTGGAAAGCCTAAAATAGATTTCATCACCTATATCTGTAGTTATTTACGTTCAGTTTTTGCTGGCATATTTTTTCCTAATATCGAAAAAATAGAATATCATCTAGGAATTATTGTTTAGATCTATGAAAAATAAAAAAACTCAACATTCAACCTGAAAACTGAAAATAAAATATAAGTAAACTACCGAATAATTTGAGACGCTAGCATCAGTGTTTGTAGTGCCATCTGTTGGCCAAGGTGGAGACTCGAAAACTTCAAAGGTTTCTTCATTTATGTTTACGCAGCTGTCATATTTTCTGAAAAATAGATAAGTTCCTTTCATTATAAGGTATGAATGGTTGTTTAAGAAAGAACTATCGCTTACTTTTATCTTACACAAACCTATAGTATAAAAACTACTCCCTCGAAAATACGATATTCGGAAGATCCAATATTTCAGTTTACATTGAGTTGGATTCGTAACTCTTTGTTCTCACGTATTAATTGTGATATCAAATGTGCTCAATAAATGTCTCAAAATATCAAAAGTTATATGTTTTAAACTCATTCATGTTACGGGTAAATCTAAAAACAACAACATAGCAAAATATCTGTTTCAACACTTTCAATCGATGAGCACAAAGGTGTAATGTTAGCTTTGAGAAATTTAATTGACTGCAACTGCCCGTTAAAAGAAAAGGAGACGACGTTTCGACTTCTATACTCAGGTCTTCTCCAGAAGAAGGCCTCAAAATATAAGATATAATATCTCTATTTATTTTTTCAACAGGCAGTTGTAATCCATTGAAGTTCTCAAATCTACAATGTCTACTCTGCCTAAAGTTCTACTGAAACAACAATTTGTTATGTTTAGTTTACGGACTTAAGTGAAGAAATATCATTCATATCTTTGTTCAGTTTTCTATTTATATTTCATTCATTTGTCCAAATTTAAACAAACATTTTTGCCTTATTTAATCAATTCATCATTGAAACCACTAAGAAAGTATTAGATTACACTCAGTCTTCTCAAAAACAGTGATCTGGCTTGACTACACCACTGCATGTATATGAAAAGTGCTAGCTTAGAACAGAGGATTATGAACTCAAGGGTTTTCTAATAAAAACACCCAAATATATATCTTATGTAATACGTGGATGGTGGCCGTGTGTTACCCAAGCAAGTTTTGAAACATCAGAACGCACAGACGTTTATGTAAGAAGCGAAATAGTTCGCAGACGAGCAGACATCTAAAACGTGAAATGATTCAGTTTAAGTGACGCAATATTTACGCTAGGTTTAATTTTCTTTTATTAGGATCAGTTAGAATTTCCGTTATTTATGAGGCTAATTTTTACATCAACTTTACGAAGTTCCTAATCATACTTCCCCACTTTACATGTATAATTATGTCTTAACTTTGGTTACTGCTTAGACTTGACAAAAACAAATGTACTGTTTTCTTGCTCTGTGATGACGTCCGTCATTGACTTCCGTTCTCCAGCTATAACTCAAGAGCATATTCTGATATCAACAATTTGTTGTTTTATCAAACTCAAAGATATTGAAATGCGGTGTTTGTAGTTACGATGACGCCATTACAGACTCTAACTAGATAACCAAATGAAAACACGAATTCAAAGTACGATTTACTCAACATGTATACTCAAAAACTGTTACTTCAAAACAAATATGCGCATGAAATTGTAAAAGTAGTAGGCGTTGATAAAAGCTACAAAAACAAACTTGCTACCTTAAAGATAACCATTTGGAAAAATAAGTATACTCTGAAGTGTATTTCTGCCACTGCAATGATTTTGACAATAAAAATGTCCTAGGAGTTAACCTGTTATGCATATATATTTACTTGCAATTTCTATAATATTTCTCAATAAATACAGAATGGTAAATGAACATACTTTGTGAATATAACAAAATAAACTCTGTCGCACTTAGTACTTTTTTGGGTGTGGTAACATAAACGTCTAGTTCGTACTATATATTTAATTCTTTATCACGTTTTTTTACGCGCTAGGGTTATTACGTAAGTTTCTAGCGACTTAAATAAAACTGAAGCTTATCTAATTCCATGATATGTTTGTAGAGTCACTTATGCGTGAAAAAGTCACCGTTATTCTAAGTCTTTTGAAATGTTACAAAAATGCTATTATTTTCTAGGCGAAATTAAACAATTTTTAGGACAACCGATTCTTCATAAATCGCTGACAGCAAAATCTATTATTTATTTAACTTTTTTTTTTCACTAATTACTCTTTTGCATGGAATATTGCCCCCCAGTGGTACAGCGGTATGTCTGTGGACTTACAACGCTAGAATCCGCACAGATAGTCCATTGTATAGCTCTGTGCTTAATTCCAAACAAACAAACAAACATCTGCATAGAATATTCATAATCAATGTATATTTTAGTTAACTTTATTTTCTTATATGAATGTTCAATATTCTTTATTTTATGTGGTGAGTTTAATTTTTTATTATAATTTAAGTCCCTTTTTAAATAAACAATTCACTTAAAAAATTTGAAAAATAAACACCTTTTTTGATAAGTATTTTTAGGGAAACTCTTGTTGAAATATAACACTTACCCGGGCTGGTTTTCTTTTGTAGTGTTTGTTACTGAGCAATGAACTTGTTCTCTGTGTTTTGTTGCTGATACAATGCAGTCCAAATGATCTAAGCTGTGAGAAATGTTGTAATCCTGAGAATGTTCATGTAAGGTGGATGATTTAATATTTTCAACAACATCATCTGAAAATATGTCTTCTACAGATCTTTCTCTGTTTCCAGTATTATGTTTTTCTGTTTCGTTGACAACACTCGTAATATTAAGAACATTATTGGCTGGTTGAATGTCTTTACCAAGTAACTCTCCTGCAGTTTCTTTAAGGTCGCCTGAAAAGTTATTTTCTCTATAAGCATTGTCTTGCTCATAAGACCCTTGTGGGGTACTTCCCGATCTTTCTGCAGTTTCTGGAATATTAAAACTTTCGTTTTTTAAAGTTACTTCGTCAGATGAAAACCTCCTTCTTTGCAAAGTAAAGTCATGTATTTCCTGATAACTAGAATCGTTACTGATGTCTTCCTTTGAACACATATCTTTTCTGCTGGAACTGTCATCCGACAACGTTCCATCTTCAGAAGACTCCCCTGTACTTTTAGTACGGTCATGCAATACTTTTGGAACTTCTGAATATCTCCTTTTGTTATCTACAGTTTTGTGTGAGAAGACTTTTGGAAGATTATGACATGTTTCAGTTTCTTTCCACTGGTCCCTATTTAGAATAACTCGAAAGTTATCCGCACCTGTTCGACGTCGTCGTTTGTTTTGTTCTTCTCTCAATGTCGACTGGTCACAGAACACACTGTCGCACAATATAGTGGATACTTTCTCAGATGTATCTTTTCCACCACCCTCTTTTACTGAGATTTTATGAGATCCACTGGCACTAAATTCATTTCTACTGCAATCCTCGTAAACATTTAGGGTATGACAAGTGGAAAATGAATCACATTTTAACGATAACCTGCGAAAAGAATCGTTACATTTGAAACTGTGTGTTGTAGGATAATCTTGGTTCTCCTGTAGGAAGAAGTCTTTCCTTTGAAAATTTGAAGAAAGTCTATTGCTGCGGTCTTTGAAAATGGTTGGAACACCAACCTCTCTGTCTTCATATTCTAACAAAATGTTATCCAACATTTGCAAACATGACTTCACTTCTTCTTGGCTGAAAAGTAAACCAGATAAAAGATTAACGAATGCATATACGCATTTTTTCTGTAGTTTCAAATTAATATAATACATTTTGTTTCTTCTACAATAAGAAACTTTTATTTTTTTACCATTGCCTTAAAGTAATGATTAAAGCTAATGCTACTGGTAATGCCAATTACAAAATAAGAATTTATTAGCGATGAATTTATCCAGCAACTCATTATGCACATGAAAAAAAGATTTTACACGTTTTAACAATATAAACATAGCATACACGTCAGTACAAATACAACAGTTAGAAATTGGTTTCTGTTATTAAACTCTACTGTTGAGTATTAAATTTTGTTGAATATTAAACAACCAAATTCAACGTTTCTTTCCTGACCTTTTGAAATTAGAAAATTCCTGTAACTGAAATATATATATGTTTATGTAGATTTTATATCTAGATCGAATTAATCAAAGTAACACTTTGTGAAGTTAAAAGTGCTTCGAAATTTTGTATACGAGATACAGGCAGCATAACCTTTCTTAATGAATAGATTGTTTTCTAGGCGATTCCTGTTAACAAGGGTTTTTTTTTTTTTGTTGTTGTTGTTGTTGAATTTCGCGCAAAGCTACTCGAGAACTATTTGTGCTAACCGTCCTTAATTTAGAAGTGACAGACTAGTGGAAAGGCAGTTAGTTAACGCTACCCATAGCCAACTCTTGGGCTACTCTTTTACCAGCGAAAATTTGGATTGACCTTTACATTATAGCCCCCTCCCTCAGCTGAAATAGCGAATATGTTCGGTGGCGGGTTTCGAACTCGCGGCCAGCAGATTACGAGTCGAGTGTCTAATCACCAGGCCATGCTATACCATTAACAAAAGCAGATTTATAAGTAATTTTTTCATTTGTTTGTTTCAGCGTTTTCGCACGAAACTACATAAAGGGCTATCTGCGCAGAGCTGTTTTAATTTTGAACTGATAAAGTAGTGGAAAGTCAGCTAGTCAACGGCACCCACCGCCAACTCTTGTGCTACTCTTGTAGTGAGATTTGTCTATCACTCTTATAGCACACCCATGCTCGGATTCGCAGTCTGAGCAAGCTAAAACTAGGCTACACCCGGCCCAATGAGTATCATTTACATCTCCATAAACAGTTTATACACATGTATATATATATATATGTGTGTTTTTTAACAAGTTTGGTCTGACCAGTATTTGATCTACCTTCCTAATGACAGTTGCATGCACAGTACTGTTCTTATGTCCTAGTTAAATTAAATTTCACAAACAAAACATGCATAGTGTACTCCTAAAAATCACCACAGTTTTTTAAACCGAATAAAAATATCTTATTAATAACTTTTGATAAGTCTCAAAATTTTAACCCGACTTGATATTCTTTTATTCCACAACACCGATTTGACACATTTATATAACCGAATTTGGAATAGGATTACTGAGCAAAAAAATCTGATACAACTCTCACCGAGTTTGGGACTGGACTTTAAAAATCTGATATAAATCTTACCAAGTTTATGGCTGGTCTGCACTCTTGACAGAAATCTGATACAACTGTCACGAAGATTGGGATAGGACTACAGCATTTAGCGTGATAATGGATGTTGGTATAAATACATGTGCACGTGCGTCTCTGTATGTAGTAAACACTATATTTCTGGAAGTTTTTTATCTTATATCCGTGTATGATTATATATTTTATATAATGAAATCTTTTTTGAAGAAGTAAACACAGAAATCTAGCTGAATTCGAACCCGCGGATGTTGTTAAGTAAAAGTAACTCCAGCAGTTTTTATGTCTTAAACCACATTTATCTGCGCTGGTTTGTATCTCATGTTGTCGACTTAACTAGACTACTTAAGACTTGTATTGCTCGAATTACAGTTTTCAGCTCGTCATAAAATGTATATTTTTGTTGACTGATGTGTGCTGGTATATATTTGACTATAATGAAGAAATTCGAGCACAAAGCAAATGCTTGAGATGGTCCTAACAACTCCCTTTTCAGATTAAAAAAACGAGATGGGTGAGAGTGACAATCAGAACTACATCAAATGCCTGTCGTGTAAAACAACGATTTCACCCTGTAAATTTCTGTCGTTGAAGATGCTATTTTAACTATCATAATACCAGGTTCTTGACCTGTAAATTAAGAAATGTTTCAATTATACTGCAAAAGAAAGTACTCGTATTGTATCCTCTTTTCGGTGCCATTACAATAATATTCTATAGCAGAAACTATTTCTTATATCATCAGTATCATAAGCCTCAAAAATTAAAAATGCGTAGCCTTTTGCTAACTAAGGATTTATTTTTGCACCAAATCATTTGGGAATGTTCAAATATTTTAACCCTTTCTGTTACTGGGCTATATTTCTCTGTAAAAAATATAAGTTTATCTTGACTGACCCCCCCAGAAATATATGAATAACCGCTAGGCCATTTGTTCGAAATGCATCACTGCTAATTAACAAGAAATAACTAGCTTTACTTTTAATCTTTATCACTACTGACACGTTTAAACAAATCTGTAACGACACATGATATATAAATACATTTGGTGTGTTTAAATAACTTCCTACTTCTGTTAGGAAATGAAGTTTTCAGTTTAAAAACAACAATCTAACATATTTCTAGAAAACAATTCAGTATTTCCTTTATCACAGGCGCATAGGGCGCTCGACTCGCAATCTGCGGGTTCAAATCCCCATCCCACCAAATATGCTCGTCCTTTCAGCCGTGGGGGCGTTATAATGTGACATTCAATTCCACTATTCGTTGGTGAAAGAGAGCTCAAAAGTTGGTGGAGGGTGGTGATGACTAGCTACCTCCCCCCTAGTCTTTCACTGCCAAATTAGGGACGGCTAACGCAGATAGCCCTCGTGTAGCTTTGCGCGAAATTAAAAACAATAAACTCTTTATTACTCACAAAGAGAAACTGAGAGGAAGACTGGATATATTTATTTATTATAACTTTTAGTTTTATAAGACTATTTAAAATAGTCTTCTTTATACTGTCTGTTTTTAATCCGTTATTTTAATTTTGTCATTACCGTATTTGGTTTAGACAAAAATAATTTCGCCCTGTTCTAATACTTAGTTTCTGTGAAATATTATCATTTCATCTTGTCATAACAAACAATTGTATACTCTGCAACAAATTATCATTGTCCATAATAAGTGCCTCCCGGTGGCTCAGGGCTTATAACGATAAAAGTCGAGTTTCAACACCCGCGATGGGCAGAACAGAGATAGCTTAACAACAAACAAACAAAATCATAATAAATATAAAAAATATTTTATCTTAACATACTGCTAAGTGACTGTCATGTGAGATATAATAGCATAAGCTTCGCCTATGATTACCTTTATTCTAACATGATAGATAAGTAATTTCACATAGCCTAGCCTCCAGTGGCTCAGTGGTAAGTCTGAGAGTTTATAACGCTAAAAATCGGTTTTCGATACCCGCGGTGGCCTTACCATAAATAATCCATTGTGCACTATTGCGCTAAACAACAAATTGTTTGTTTGTTATTAAGCACAAAGCTACACAATGGGCTATCTGTGCTCTGCCCACCACGGGTATCGAAACTGGGTTTCTAGCGTTGTAAGTCCGCAGACATACCGCTGTGCCACTGGGGGACATTAACAACAATTAAACAGTCTCTATTCTGTAAAATATTGCGTTTGTTTGTACGCGAACTACTTCGTGGTCTTTGTACCAATCTCAACCAAACTTGGTAGAATGATACACTGGACTAAGGGTCATATCATAAGGCGATTATTAGCCAACTGTACTCACCTTGGGCTATGCCAACAGCAAAAATATGGTTGTTTAGCTAATGACTCCACAGGTTTGGACAAACTTTTTATTCCTAAAAATATCTTATTTTGAGTTTTCCTGAATTTTTTTTTAGATTTCCTTGCAGATTTTTGAGTTATTTTATTTAAAAAATGTCAAACATTCACATGTTTGTCATTAAAAATGGCAACCAAAGCACCAGGTCAGACCCTTAAAGTAGCAGAGCTACATCTGAACATCCCTTCCTTTTCACATGGTCATTTCTTTGTTGGATGTTCAAGAGTAAGATCGCCAAGAAATATCTTTATTTTGGCCCAGGAAGGAGAAAGAACTTCTAAGGTGGTCTATCAAGAAGCACTCAGAGTATTAACAAACACAGAGACTGTAGAGAGGTATTAGTAAAAATAATAAAGTAAAGTAATCAAAACACCATTTATGTGATGTGGAATAAAGTAGGTGCAAAGTAAATTATGTGTGAAATAAATTATGAGTATAAATACAAATTTTTGATTTAATTTATTAGTTCAAGCCCTACATTCAATCCTCATGCACCCAGATGTAGGACGGGTGCCTCAGCTTGTTATACTAAAATAATGACAAGTAAACCCCGTCAAACACATTAGGTTTCATTCTTCTATCATAAGAAGTAACTTTTCTATAATGCATTACATTTCTTAATGCCATGACAACGAGTGACTGTCCTGTAAGACTAATCTCTTCTATTCTTTCAAAATGTCAAGCAACTATTTTGTAAGGCACACTATTCCATTCTTCCATAATTATATAACTATACTATACTGTAAAATATTATATTAATAATCCATTATTCCACAATAACAGGTAACAGTATTGTAAGTTATATTCCTTTCTGCCATAATAACATGTAACAGTGCTGTAATATAACATATATTTCATTATGACATAAACAACAGGTAACTGTCCTGTAGAACATTATATTTTTGTCTGCAATAATAACGAGTAATCCCCTGTAAGGCATTATGTTTTATTTTACCATGGTAAGAAGTAACTGTTCTGGATACATAAGATTTTATTCTTTCATAATAATAAGAAGTGTGTGTGTGTTTTCTTAGAGCAAAGCCACATCGGGCTATCTACTGTGTCCACCGAGGGGAATCGAACCTCTGATTTTAGCATTGTAAAACCGAAAAACTTACCGCTGTCCCACCGGGGGACCCATATTAAGGAATGACTATCAAGAATAAATTATGTTCCAAGTACTTAATAATTATGCCTCTTCTGAACTAGACAATTTTAAAGTCACATCTGAACCAATAGTGTTACAGTTGTAATGATGTTGCGATCTCATCCAAATAGAATATAAAATCTACACATATACTAATCTGCTGTGAAATACGCTTTTATCACGTATAGGAACTTAATAATTCCTTTGTGCACTATAATATACACCTCAATTAAATTACCCCCCCTCCCCGTGGCTCAGTGGTAAGATTGAGAGTTTATAACGCTAAAATTGGAGGATTGATCCCTGCTTTGGGCGTATCAAAGATGGCTCCTTCCAGTAACTTTGTGCTTAACAATACACAAACTCAGTTTACAAAAGCATATGAAATCTATATCACTGCAGAATGTTTGGTGCTTAATATTAATGTAATCTGGAAAGTACAATGATGGAATGTTGGGTAATAATAAAATACAAAACAAACTTCGTTTCATTGTAACATCTTAAACTCTGCAGTTGTAGGGATTATAATTCGTTCAGCGTTACTTTTAGCTGTAAAGTCTCAATTTACAGAGCTATGTGAAATATATCAAATATATTGAACTTAAAATTTCTCCTCATGTATTTGACATATTTTCAGAAACTCTAAGTTCAGTTAGTAACAAATCAGGACAAAATGACCTTAAATAACGTCTATTTCAGAGTTCATAAAAATGAGAAACACTTACTCCACGGAAGAAGTGCTGCTGCTGCTTCTTCTTTGAACGCGCCATTTCAACATCTTTTTTGCTTACTGTAATAACTGCACGCTTTATCCTTGATAAAAGACTTATTACTTGACGTCAGTGAGTATACATATTCGAGAAGTGATTACAGATTAAGCAAATCATGTTCCCATTCATGAGGTGTTCCTCAAATGCGCATATTCATTGAGGTCAGTTATATATATATACCTGTGCTATAAAGATGTCAATACTTTACCGAGGATATTTTGATGGTTTGTGTGTTTATTTATTACTGACAGTTTTAATTGTAACTTCCTCATTGAAAACAAATACATACATACGCATTTGTGGCTCCATCTGTACAAAAGTAAAAAAAGTGTGAGTCAAAGAATAGATTCCAACATTGGAAATAATATGGGAATATTTATCCAAGTTTTCAGAATATTAAGTTAGTTTTAATAATGAACAAAATTCTCATTCGCATATTTTTTTACAATTACATTTTTCTCTGTTAGTACGAAAAATGTTTCTTAACAATGGATAAAATCATACAACTCATAGAAAGTTGGAAGTAATATAATAAAAATTTTATTTTACTTGCTAAAAATGCGCTTTTCTTGCCAGCTTCAAAGTTTTTATCAGACCTTTAATCGAATACGATTGTATGGCCACTTTTACCATGCCAGATGTTTTTTTTTTTTTTTTTTTTTTTGCAGTCCCCCAGTGACTCAGCGGTAAGTTTCTGGACTTATGACGCTAAAATCGGGTTTCTATACATACAGCACAAATAACCTATTATATATCTTTGTACTTAACACCAAACCTTTTTCAAAAGATTACAAAAACACCAGGAGAAAATAATAAAATACATTTATCATTCACCAATTTATATTTCAATTTATTATATTCATAATCCTTACAAATTCCCTACAATCAAGGATAGTCTTTTCTACTTAGCTAGGAAATCCTTCAAAAAACTTCAAAATTAGAATTAATTAATTATACAATCCCACACCCTTAGCTGCCACATCTAATTCCTGGAAAAACTACATATCTGCATACAATCTACTTTTTTAACAACATAATGTCATTCCATTTAGGTAATATCACTTTGTTTCTCTCCTACTCATCCTCTTAACATATTTCAACACATCATACACTTACATTGTTTCTTCACTAGATTTTAAATCTCACCGGTTTCCGCTGTGCTATTTTAGCCTATTTACAATTTAATTCGTGCTGTTGGTGAAGAGAATCCGTTGTTTTCTGAATGCCCAGGGCATTAATCTAAATACCTATCAGTCAGTCAGCCACATACAAACACACACAGAGGACCTGGAGAAGGCAAAAGGAAGATCACCAAAAGTCGTCAAGTTCACCACTCTCAATGCAAGAAGTCCATGAAAATGTACCAATACAAGTGAAATAACATGTTTTCTAACAAACAAATACTATATTTCTACAGAGAATGACCATAGAAATCTAGTTATTTCCATTTAAAAAACGAGAAAAAAATAACAAAATAATCCTTCTTCTACAGTAACAACTTCCTTCCGACAACAGTGGCCTTCATGTTCCTTCAATCTGATTTACTCAAACTGAAAAAGAAAATACAAAAACTTGAAAACGAACGGAACTCTCGTATACAAAAAAAAAAAAAAGTAGTATAAACGTTATGGATCACCAATTTACCCCCTAGCGCTATCTGATCCTGTTGTTAATATATCACACCACCACTTATTAGAAGATTAACTTTAATGTACTACACATGAGATTAAATTTTTCTACTTCAAGAACCAAAGTCGACAATGAAAAACATCATTACTGAAATTGAAGCAGGGATAAATGAATTAAATACAATTAACCAAACGACAATTAGACTTGAGGCTAACAATATCATAACAACTAACCTGGTTCCCAACTGTAATCTAACGAAATCAGAAAACAGTACTCTGTTTGTTTGTTTGTAATTACGCACAGAGCTACACAATGGGCTATCTGTGCTCATCCCATCACAGGTATCGAAACCAGGTTTCTAGCGTTGTAAGTCCGCAGATATATCGCTGTGCCACTGGGGGGCAACAATACTCTGAAAGACTTGCCGAAGCATGAAGACTTTATTATAATTAGAGGATGTAAAATTGTAATGTTGAACAAAAAAACAGCACAGTCACAGCGCCAATAAAATAAAATTATTATTAGTTTTTGCACTCTACTGCCGTGAACATTGACCTTTCAGGCCCGTTCTGAGCTTGAACTTACACCTCTTTTCTTAAGTAGATTATTTATTAAAGGTTTACGATTTCAACGTCGGTAGCTAGCAAAGCACTAGAAACCAATAGGTGTAATCAACTGGCGAGATATGGTATTAAACGAAAGGCCTCTTGAGTATTGAATTGCGAGTTTGTTTTGTTTTTTTAATTAGATACAAAGCTACAAAATGGCTATCTGTGCTCTGCCCACCTCGGGTATCGAAACCCGGATTCTAGCGTTGTAAGGACGCAGACACACCGCTGTGCCACATGGGGGGCAATGATTTGTGAGAGACAAAATATAGATCTGAAATGAAAAAGGCCTCTTGGGTATTGAATTGTGAGAGACAAAATATAGATCTGAAATGCTATTTTTACACACCGAATCCGAAATGGACAAATTAAGATTAATGTGAACGAAAAACACTTGTAGTTCCCTTGATTTTTATCAAACATTATGTTTATTGTTTTTTTGTTTTGTTTTGTTTCTAATTTGAATAAGCAAAATACTGCTTTTTTGGGATTTTCAACTTTTTCTAGTTTTGTCAACAGTTATAATCTATTACAAAACCTTGTCGAAACGTTGTACATTGCTGTTGTGTTAAAGTTATATTAAAGTTTTTCTTCATTACCCGTTCAGGCCGTCTCCAAGCATTCTTCTTACGCCCTCTATCGAAATATTTTTTCGCTGACGTTGGTTGGTCTACGACGTAAGCGGATAACTCCTGTATAAAAAACAAACAATTATATAAAAAAAACAAAAAAAAACGTGTTAACGTTGCGAAATATTTGTTACCATTTAAAAGCAAGTCACAGTTTTTCTTGCAAAAGTTGCGTTAAATTTGAGAAATTTAAAATATTTCAGATTAACTAGTTATTAACGTCATTAATAAAAACTTAAATCTTAAAACAACCGTGAGGCAATTACATTCTTGCCATCTCAATATATTGCAGAACCCAAGTGTAATAAATGAAGACATGTCGAATTACGGTTATAGTAGGTATGTTAATTTTTCTTACCAAGCATTACGGTATTAGTATAACTGTTATAATAAATTGTATCTGTTTTGTTTCTTAGTGTGTTGTAAGTTCCTTAAGAACGATAATGGAAAAATATGTTGCTTTAAATCATTGAAATTTAAATTTTAATCAATGTGAAGTGTGATATGATTATAAGCATGACTGTGACTGAGTTTGAGTGAAACGGGACAAGTAATATTGTGAAGCTGACAAGTATTTTTTACCATATCTTAAATGTAAGGACCAGTGTTCAATAGAATTTGAAATATGAATACTTTAGTGATTTTTTTTCTCTTTTTGTTTCATATTTAACAGTGGAATTATACCATGAACCTTTTACTATTATTAATAAAGCCTAGAGGCTGTAATTTTTTTTACTGAAAAAAAGGATACTTAATTAAAATAAGTAGTTTATCAATTAATTGTGATATATCTAATTCATAGTGTAGAAGAGTTATTGATATTTTATTATTTACCATTCAAAAATTTCATTTACCCTGTAAAACTAAAAGGGTATGGTACACTCATAATGGCCAGGAAATTGTGTGGATGATAATAAACTAAAGTACATATCAGCTGTTTGAATGGAGTATAGTGTGAAACTTGTAATAATTGACTGTGATACTTCAGTATAAAATGGAATGATGATATAAACATCTCTGTATTTAAGAATGTAATGAGTATTGAAATATTGGTTATTATGTACACCTGTTGATATTTATAAGAGAGCATGCTACACATTATAACACAGAGGTAGGTACTCCGCAGTCTAATGATAAGATTAATTGAAAAAGATATTAAGAAAACCTTATTATATTTCTTGTTGTTTTTTTTCTTTTTCAAAAGGTCTTTTGATAGTCACTATGCTTAGTGACCGAGTCAGAACATGGGGAAACAAATTCGATGATGAGGAACCCACTTTGAGACTAATAATGGTTGGAGACGGTTTGAATGGGTAATGAAGAGAAACTTTAATATAAGTTTAACACTAACAGCAAATGTA